CAACCACTCAGTAAAAACTATTCTGAGTAGATTGCAGGCTGCATGTTATCATGTGTGCCATGATAAACAAATGTCAAAACTCATGCACAAACAATTCAGAAAAAGTTCAGATACATGTGTATAAGTACTAGCAAAATGGAAGAAAAGGAGATATTAAACATACGGTGGTTTAATTATAAAATTTTGTATTTATAGAGTTAATCTAAATTAACTAAAAATATATATATTTTTATATATATATATAAAGAGTTAATATAAATTAACTGCAAAAATTCCTGTTTTCTCCATTATGTAGAATATGGAGAAATCAGAAGAACATTGGAAAAAATATAAGCAGGTTCTAGGTTTTTGTTTGTGGCTTGCTGTTGTATGAGTACCTTGGAGATTGTGATTTTTTTTTTTTCCCCGGGGGTTTTCTGGTTTGTTTTTCATGACAAGGAAAACGGTCTGTGGAACAAAATGAAGGTATGTGTAGCAGCATTTAAATCACCTAGCTAAGGTCTGCTGCTAGAATGTTACATCAGCTTTTGGTTTTAAAAGTGTCTGGAGGGAAAGAAAATAGTATGGTAAATAATAAAATTACTTGCCCTCAGACTGGTTTGTGAAATACCTCAGAGAATGGATGGATACAGCTGATGAAGATAAAAAGACACGTTGGACTATATGTCTAAGCACAACAGGAGAATTTATAAGACTTGACAGTTTCGGATGTTTATTAGGATTTAGCTGTGTTCTAGGGAAGAGTAATGAAAAACATAAGTGATTGCAGCATGCTGGAAATTGGCATCTGGAAGTATCAGGAGGAGCCTGAGTTGTCTCCACTAGTGCAACAAACAATCCTGAAACGCAGCAAGCTGAACCATGAGGTTGCATTGTCACTTTACCTATTGGGGAGCATATTTATTTGATGACTTTTGACTGTTGGATATAGTGAACAAAATCCAGAACATTTTGTCTGAAGTGGTAAAATATTCCTTTACTACATCCATGTCCTAAAAAAAAAATCTCCATTTTTGTAAAATGCAGTAGTTATTACAGGGTTTTTTTTGCTTACTTACCTTTAAGAAAAAAAAGCTCTAAGAAATACATTTGGTCTGTGAACATACCACAGATGCAAGTAATAAATGAGGACTCTCATTCCAGTTTATATAATTTCTCTATTTCCACTCTTTATACTAAGTACTATTTAAAAGCCATAATTAATGAGACAGAAAGTATGAGGTCCTTTAAGATAGTTACCTGGCACTGTCTTCAGCCTGCTTCTCTGGAGAGCACTATTTTGATTATTTGTCTTCTGTTTCAGTCACTCTGGGGCTGATGTCATACTTCCACTATCAGAGGAATTGTGCAGCAGTAAACCTACACTGTACCAGCCCCTTTGGTAAGTACAATTTAAAATTCTCGAGAACCCCCTTTCTCTCTTGCTGTCTGCTCTGAACTGAACATATGTCCTTCAGAACTGCAGGTTTTCAGAAGGTAAGTCTGGCAGATCTCTTCTGCCTATTGCATGACAACCAGAAGATGCATATGATTTTATAAGTATGTCTTAGAGTTCAGCTAAAGGATCACTCACTTCCAGATACGGCAGAAAGGCTCTGGGTTTGGGAGGGAAAACTCACGAGGATTTGTTTTATTTTACTGTGAGAGGGCGGGATTTGCTCATCCAGACTCCTGTCACAGAATTGGCCATTGGTCTGTCACCATGTCTGTCAGTTTTCTGGGAAACCAGCTCAGTTACAAGAGACGAGACCTATTTCTTCATCTGGTCTGTGTTTCCTGACTGGCTTCAAGGCCACCTTCTGAACACACATGCACATTTGGGGCTATGAGAGAAGGCACAGACTAGTTGGTAAGTGGCTTTTCCACATCTTTACAGCTCAGTCCATAGTTGATCCTGAGGAAGATTAATTTATTCTCATTCTTAATTTGGCTGGCACCAGATGTCCTATAGAGATTTCAAGATGCATACTTGAATGTGCCACAAACCTGACTGTTGGTTTCTGAGCCCACAGACATCTCTGCAGAACTAGGCTATGACGAAGATGGGACTATTGCGAGGGTCTAATCCGTATGGGCATAGGGGGATTAAAGCCATAGGGACAGCATCTTGTCTTGCCCTGGTGAAGGTGATGAACGTGCTTACAGATCTCAGGCAGAAAGTCTCCAATGGCATGACCAAATACAACTTGAAAACAATGTGCATTCACCCTGCAGAGATACTAGCTTTAGGCTGCTGAGATCAAGCAGCCTGAAGTATCTGGAATGCCGGTCACCACATTTTACATCAGCTGAAATATTTAGCAGTGCAATCTGCAAGGATCATAAATAGGAATATTAAATTCTTGAAAGAGCAGATACAGGAAAATATTTCTCTTATGAAAATCATAAACAAATGCAGTTCTTTCCAAATCCCAACATCTTCTGAAACTGTTCTCTGAGCAGAAACATCTGTCTCTTGGATAAGACCAAGTCTCTTTTACTATAACACAGCCTCTGATTTTCTTCCTCCCTTAATCTGCTTTTAGCCTTTTCAGCTGTGGAAAGGGTCTGTGCTGAAATTGCCAGTTCTCAGCCATACGCTACGGCCACAGTGGGATGTTGAGATGTGGATGATCACCTCCAGGAAGTAGTTGCTGTATTCAAAAGCTGTAGGAGAACACAGGTTTTGGTGGAGGAAGAGTGCAATTGATGGTTGTCTTCCGAGTTGACATTTTTTATGGAAGAGACTAGTGTTCAATGCATTGTCACTACAGCCAGACCAAAAACAGTAGATGAAACAACTCTGCTTTAGGACCAAGAATACTTTCCTTTGGATAATTAGGTTCTGCAGACTCGAGAGTGGATGTCTGAGTCTCACAGTCTCCCTTGTTCCCCTATCCCCCTTCAGAACATGCTATGGAGGATAATCAGTCCTGTGGGCCTCACCAATTTCTGAATCTTGCACAGTTTCTCAGTCACACTGTGCCTCATTTTTTAGTATCCTTCCTGGAGATTAAAATTTAACACTTTATCTTTACAATATATATGGAGACAGAAATGTGCTACATTTTCTGTGCAGGATATTTTCACTGAGGTGCAAGGGCATTTGAAACGTGTTTGGAACAAGAAGCTTGTTCCTTTTCTGCCAGTATTTAAAAAGTGGCTTCTGATTTTGGGCGTTTGGCTCCAGATAACTGCTAGGACCTAGTTTCCAAAGGAGTCAAATATTTACACCATCAGAGGACATGTGGGAATTCTGCATGCTTACGCTGGTAGCTGCTGATGGCTGTTCTGCTCCTGAACCCCACACACTGTAAAAAACCAGGCATGGATGATGGTCATGCATACTTACAAAGTGCTTTAACAATGCTGGATGCATGGTTGGACACAGGAGATGTACTAAGCAAATCCTTATCAGGACTCCAACCTGAGTGCAAATGAAGAGCAATGCTCACTTTCTCTGGAGCAGTGGCCTTCATTCTTGTTTTATTTGTGGGTCCCTAGCAAATTTCCAGCAGGAAAGCAGGCTCCCCCATACAGCAAACATTAATTGCCTGATAGTAGCTTTCCTTTTCCAATCCTAAAAAGATGCTCAAGTCCCAGGGCTAAAACTGTTGCTGTAGAGCATCCCGTTGTGAACAGTGTCACAATGTCAGTCATTCTTCTGGTCACTGAAGAGAACAAAGGGAAATCCTCTCCAAAACAGGCTGAAGGCTGTTCTTTTCACCTCTCAAAAAAGCGTCCCCTCCCGTTACTGCAAGGTCTCTTCCTTCTCATTCCTATTCCCACTTTGACTGTCGCCCTGCAGGGAGGGGCTGCGACAGAGGGAACTAAAGGTCCCGGACTCCTCTCCTGCTTCTCTCAGAGAGGTGCTGGCCCTCTGGCAGTGGTGAAATGAAGATCGTCTCTGGGACAGGGTTTGGGCAACAGTCCTGAAGTGCAGGGTAACCTGGCAGAGACAACCGCACTACCTTTCAGAGGCAATGGGAGAGACTGGGCAGCACCTGGGGAAAGGTTGGAGGAAATCCAAAAAAGCTTAAATATTTCTGGTGGTGTTTGGGGTTGAAGTCTGAGGCACTGGAACTGCATAAAAAGTTTTAACTAAGCAGCTTCACAAGATGGGTAAGAAGAATTAGCTAACATCTGTCCTGAACAGTTGCCACCACCATTTCTGTGTGATGGGGGAGAGGTGATGGATGGCATTTGTAGAACAGACTCACAGAACCCAGTCCTCCCTGGGTGCTTTGTTAGCAGAGTGAGTGGTGCACTTTTTTTCTATTAAACCTAAAAGTTACACATTCTATTTATTTGCAAAGCTAAGGACTGAGATTTAAAAGCCAAGAAGTTTACTTTTAGTGCATTGGTTGAAGTCTTCAGGAAGAAAACTGCGAATCCGCAGGGAATGGTCTAGTTGCTACGGACGCAGCTCTGACAGACGCTTCGGGTGTCTATGAATAACGCCAGAGAACACGCCCAGGCCCCTCCTGCTACCCCGCCCCCCACCCCGGCCGCTCTTTTTTGGAGCCTTGCAAGAAGAACCGCAGCTAGGACAAGAGTGTCACCTGCTGGTAAGCGAAATGACTGCTCCTGCCTGCTGTTGTCTTCGCTGCCACTGCACATCGCCGATTGCTTTTATGTGTTCTGTGGGAATACCGCTTCTCACCTCTACTACGTTAAAGGTGACAACGCGGTGAAGCGGTGTCAGTAACAGATTCAGAGATGACAGCATTTCTTTCAATTTCTGTGTTATTTAAACGCTATAGATTTTCCGAGGTTTGCTTAACGACTAATATAGTGGCTTTGGTGATACAGCTTTTGTTACGTTATTTTAATACAGTTTTAAAATCGAGGCTGATACGGAGCCACATTTTGTTCTGCATTTGCTGTGGGTTAAGGATACATAAAAGCCTAGTATGGGTATCACCTGCTCACCTTAAAACCTTCACTTAAAAGTCTGAGGATCTCACACTTCTGTATATGTTTAACACATATGTATGTTTGTATTTCACAAGGATGGTCAAATGAGTGATCATGCGGAAGAAAACTGCAAGAAAAGCAATTCTGACCAGGAAATGTCTGCAGAAGGAAATGTCTCTTCTGCTAAGGACTGCTCAGTAACGCAAAAACAATTGGTATGACTTCTCCAGTACCATTTTATTATCAAGATACTTACCACTGCCTCCAATTTCTTCCATAATTACAAAAATAAAAAGCTGGAGTCAATAGGGAAATATCAGTAATAACAACAGTGAAATGAGTCAAGTTTGCAGTGCATTGATTTAAAGGGCTAAGAGCACTTCTGAGCTAGAAAGAAATAGTAAGTAGGGAAATAGGAGAGTACTCTTAGAGGGAGGACTATCTCCATAGCTTATTATTTGTTTCCAACTTGAAATTGTGTAATTTATGATCGTGGACAATGATGATGCTGAAGCATATTTTCTGCACTGAAAATCTACCCCAGACTCAAAAGAAGAAACGTCTGAATAATGTAGGTGCATGAGATTGCCCTGTAGGTTTTCAGCAGGGTGCAACTGAAGATGCACAGCATCAACTATCTTGTAAGTAAGTGCACTCAAGGGCACGGCTATTTCTAAATCACTGTATCAGCAGATTGGACTGAGCTGCCCCTGCTTTCCCCATGAGAAGCAATGAAGGCACTCACTTGTTTGTGAAAAATCACTGTGGACTCTGAAAGGAATGACACCCTCCAGGGAAGCTGAGGGGTGGCAAGTCAGCTCCATTTACCTAAGAGGAGAAGAGAAATTTGTATGTACGTGTGTGCCTCTGCATAATGAATGACAAGTGTATGTTCAATGTCCACAGTCATTGTCCAAAGAGAAATTGTTTGACACAATGCCCATGTTTGTTTGCATTGACTTTAGACATGACTGTCAACATACATGGACTATGTGGAATGGCAATACACAGAGCTGATGTTTTAACCTCCAAAACTATTCAGTGGTTTTAGCTAATTGCAGACATGAATTCCACAAAATAGGCAAGAAAATGCTCTCTCCTATTTCTCAAAAACTGTGCTCAGTTTAGCTTCTTTATTTTTGTCTGTGCTTTTTTCATACTCCTCACTTGTGCAAATGCTTCCTTCCTGCACTAGTTGCTCCTCCAGACATTTCTCTTGCCCTCAGATTGTTTGGACAAAGATGAGTTCTAGGCATCTGAGGGAACAGCTAAGATAAGGGTGAATCCAGTTGAGATGCTTATAATCATAGTACTTGTTTTTACATTATGGATAAAGTTGAAGAAAAAAAACCCAACATGATTCTGCCTCCCACAAAACAACTTTCAAACTCCAAGCCACTGTACCAGAACTACTGTACCACCATGTATTCAGAGTTGAGGTTGTTCCCTCTCCTGTCAGGATGCACAGTCGGTCAAAGGAATACTCAATTAACAGTTAGGCAAGCAAACATTTTAAACAATGTGATCTTAATTTAGGTCGAGTTTTGCTTCGTTTCCTGTGTTAAGTTATCAAGAAAATTAATTTTAATGTCATTTGAAAGCCAGTGAGGACATTTGGCAGCCAATAAATATTTGTTCCAATTGTACTAATTATAAACTTTGTTGTTTATTTATAGCAACAACTTGAGAAACAATTAAAATGCTTAGCCTTTCAAAATCCAGCAAAATCCAGGACCTCAGGTAGTTGACTTCAATCCTGAAACTAGAGAGCAGAAAAAGAAAGCGCGCATGTCACAGATGAAGCAAGACTTTTTTTATAAGCCCAAGTAAGATGTGCTAATTTATTACATATTTTACTTTAAAAAATGGCTGGTATGCTGTTTACTGAATATAAATGAAATGAATAAAAGCATTAATATTTTACAGAGAGATTTATTACAGATGAAAGCTGTGCTGGGAAAACAAGCTTTTTCTCTGGGACTTAAGAGAATTTTGATTTACTTCTTTGGCACACTTTCATTTTTAATAACAGTGGCTGTTGCAATTAGGATATAATGCTGGTATTTCATTATACTGTGAGGTTGTTCAAGAGGAAATATTTGTTCCTGGACAGATGTTTTCTGTATTTGTTTGGTTTAGACTTCGAACATGTTGAAGCATTCTCTGAGAATCACTTTTTCTTCTCTTTCGCAGAATTACAAAGAAGTACGACAAACATGGCAGGCTGCTTTGTAATAACATGGATTTGTGTGATTGCCTGGAAAAGAACTGTCTGGGTTGCTTCTATCCTTGCCCTAAATGCAATTCAAACAAATGTGGACCAGAATGTCGCTGCAATAGGAAATGGGTTTATGATGCAATTGAGACTGAAGCTGGGAATGTGATCAGCGTGTTGCCATTTTTTGTCCCTGACTGATTTTGTTCTGATAGTTTTTGTGCCTGAGCGAAGTTCTTTTTTCTTCACATTTTATTACGGTAAATCTTGGCTTTATGAATTGTCTTTAGTGAAGTGCCTGGCAGTGGTGCTTGTGCTTCTTTACTGCTGCCTACCTAGCAGACTTTAACCTTCCCCATTAAGTAAAAGTATGTATTTCATTCTTCCTCATCCTTGTGAGCTTTACTGAGGCATCTAGTCAGTCCTCTCTAAATCTTGACTTTCTAAAACGGAAGGTGTCTGGACTGCTGTGGGAAGACAATTTTCTTACCCTGGGAAGCTGAACCACATTACTTGTAATGAGTTTTTTTCTTGCCTATCTCTCTGCTTGTTCATTTACTCAGCTGTGTGACACAGCTCTTTCTTTTGTGAAAGCTTGTCAAAGTGCCTTTCCTTCTGATGCATTCGTGTCTTGTATAGATGAGGCAGGAGTCATTTGAGGTAACACCGTTCTTTTGAAACTAGGTCACTGCTTTCCATGTGCCTCCATATATAAAGCAGAGGAGAGTGGAAACGACTCTACAATTCTTTCTTGCTGCCCAGGCTACAAGACTGAAACCAACACGTTCAGTCAGCATTTTTTTTCTTACAGGATATGGCGCACTTAACCTTGATCAGTCATTAATTATATAGCTAAACGGATTGGATATTTTTGCCTCTGGACAGAAAAGTCTCTTCAGTTCCAGGATTTTCCTTTTCATGCAAGACACAACAGATTTCAAATACTGTAACTTACACCCAGTCTTCTTATGAGGTAGGTGTTCTCATTCATGATGGGCGCTCACACCCTTTTTGAGGAGTGAGGGTCCCTCTGGATCTTGAAGGGGGGAAGGCTGCAGATTGCCACAGGTGATCTCCAGGAGCGTGCTGCTAGTGAGGGAATCATTCCCTGGGCCCAGTGCTTGTTGTTTTTGAGGAGACTCTCCCAACTTTGAATGCGGCACCACTTTTCTCCCCTATAAGAGGCCATTCTCTGTGGACAAAGACCTCCTGCTCCAAGGCAGAGATATTTCCCAGTAGAAGAAACTTCCTGGAACAGATCCCAAGAATGCCTTAACACCACAATCTCCTTCTGACTTGATAACCTTGGAAAGATTTGTTGCTCCTCTCAACTAATGACACCTCAAGTACTTAAGCTTGTAGCATAAAAACACCCAGTACCAAAAAACTTCATAGGAATATTTGCTGTGTGGTTAAAACACTCTCTGTTTGGCAGTTGGATCTGGTGCTGTTCTCTTGTATACCTCACTGATCCCAAAGTATCCTTTGACTTGTGCCAGGAGTCCAAATAGCCCACATCATCTCTGAGCTTTATTTCTTAAAGTAGGTGGAAATCCTGGCAATGTAGTCAGGGATTGGTTTCTTGTTCCAGGTGTGCCACAGACTCATTCTGGACTTGACTGAATAAGCAGCCTTCAAGAAGACAAAGTTGATTTACACGGACAGGAAGATGTCAGCCTTCCTTTGAAATAACCTCAAGATCTGAAATAGACAAGTTTGAATTAGCTTCACTTTCTTTCCACTTAAAGGAAAAAACCCAAATAGTTTCTCAAGTGGATTCCTGTAGTAAGGCTACATGTTAAATTTTTTGAATAATGTCATTAAACCCAGATTGGTGTAAGCCTTTAGAATCCCATTATTGAATTCATTGATGTTACTTTGTGGTTTTTAACATGGACTGTGCCTCTGTCACAACCATAGCTAAATGCAAAGTATAAAAGAACTCCATCACAAAAACACTTAGTGCAACCTTGAAAATATAGCACAAAACCTGAAAAAACAGAAGTGAGAGCCAAGATAAGGATAATGAAATAAGAGGATATTGCAGAGGCAGTTCTGCTGTGGTTTGAGAAGGACTCTATCGCTGCAATGATGCTGCTAACTTTTCCCCCCAATTCCAAATGAGCAGCTGACAGTGCACAAGTATAATCCCTATTAGAGCAGTTGTACATGTGTGGAGGGGAGAAAAAAAGACCAGTGCCATGCGTATGTTTAACTGATTGTGAAACTTAGTGGTAGATACATTATATAAAAATAACAACAGAGTGCCCATATCTGATAGTTTTTGTTAGGCGATTACATAATGCCACACTGCATGACATTGTGGTTTTAAATAAAATCCCTTACCGGAAAAGGCAGAGAACGTTTCTTAGTCTCCTATGAAATTGGCCACTCTCCAGATGACACTAGATCATCTTTTTACCGTATGTCAGTCTAAACAGAATATGGTTTTCCCTTGGAATAAGTTTGCTTTAGAAAGCTAATGTTTAAAATAAGGGGAAGCAGATCAATGAACTGTTCCATAAGGTCTGTCCTCTCCACCCCCCGCCCCGGATTATGCAAGTTAAACAGTTTGTGACACTGTCAATTTACTTTGCCTCTCTCTTCCTTGTCCACGTGGCTGCTTTGCTCATGGCTGCCAGTCATCCCACTGTGGCTTAAGGAAAGATGAAAGCACAAGTACGTATTAAACTATAGCCTAGCTAAGATACCATCTCTCTGTCCCTTGCCTAAAAATTAATTCCGTTTGTTTAATTTGAATTCATTGTGCCTTCCACTTGTATTTCCCTTGCTTACAATCCGTATCTATCTGGAAGGAGATACTCACCCTCTGCTTTCTTAGATGTTATTGCTACAAAGAAGTCAACTTCATGGAAATGAATAATGTGCTCCCGTTATGATTTTTGTATAGGTAAAGATGGCTCTTTCTCTACTAACCTCCTAAGTGCTTGGGCATTGTCTTATTGGGATCCTCTCGGTTCCAAAGACTGCACTGTGCATCTCCTGCCATTTACAAACTTGAAAACTCAGAAAACAAAATAAGAGCTATGCACAGCATCTTGTTGTTTGCCTTCATTGCACTCTCTTAGACTTTAAGCCAGAAAGTTAGCCACTGAAGACACTCATTATTTAACAATTTGTCTATACTTCTTGATATCAGAAGTTGTCACAGGTCTGAGGAAAACAACCCAACAGCTGTCCTTGCATATTGCATTGGATACTTACAGCTGCTCCTAAAACAACAGCCAATTTAAAGGAAATATTAATAAAATTATTATCATGTGGCTCAGAAGAGGCCACCATGAAAGCGAAGGCCATTAAAAATTATGACTTTTAAGATGCGAAGGTGTGCTAAAGACAAAGAACACCCCAGGCTTTATCAGATGAGTTAAGAAGCTGCTTTTAAAACAACAGCCAATTTAAAGGAAATATTAATAAAATTATTATCATGTGGCTCAGAAGAGGCCACCATGAAAGCGAAGGCCATTAAAAATTATGACTTTTAAGATGCGAAGGTGTGCTAAAGACAAAGAACACCCCAGGCTTTATCAGATGAGTTAAGAGATGGGAGTTTTGAATAAGAAGGCAGACCAAAGCTGTATTGGGGCATGAGGCTGACTAGCTAGTCAGCTGTAGCAGGGCCACCACTCCCGTGTCTGCCTCTGTTTCCATGGTAATAAATGGGCAAAATTACGCTGACTTTCCTCTTGCTCTTTGCAAATCCTTCATGCAAAGTTCCACAATGAAAACTTAGAATTATTTATATAAATCCTTTTATGTAAAGGCTCCATAATTACTTATCTACAGTTACATATATAACGCAGCACCTCTGAAACACAGACTAGGAATACAACAGATTACAGCACTGTAAAACAACAGGCAGAAAATGGAGATTTTTTTTCCCAAAGTAAGGCCCCAAATTTTGTATGAAAACTGTTACGGGATTCCTGTCCACGTGGGGACTTAACGTTAGGTAACCACAGTAAACTGCATGGTATTCAGTTTACCTACAGTGCTTTAAAAATTATGAAGGACAGTCAGCCCTGGGAGAAGTCAGATCTGTGGTTCCAGAAAGTCTAGATATTTCAGTCACAACCTGAGACCACTAAACTGTTCCTCCTGGCTTAAAATGAACTTCTGCATATGGTGAGGTGCCATTCAATCCCACCGCATCATTTAGAGAAAAATAAGTCCATACTGTTAGTGAACTTACACTAGTATGTGCCAGCATTTGTCAAGGTAAGAACTCTACAGTTAATATTTGTCAGCATCTGTGATTCATACAAACACAGAAAGGCATTAAAAAAAAAGTAATACACTTTGAACTCTTTTCCAGACAATTTTCATGATCCTTTTAACACCTCCTGTAAGAGCACAACTGAGCTTCCTCTATATACATCCACACCAAAGTAAAATACAGATTTGATTCACTTCAGTGGGAAAACCAGAAGAGCTTGACTAAAGAAACACAGACTGATACCTTCTGGATAAGTATTTAAATATGCCTTAGGTAAATATTTGCACCAAAAGCATTACAGTTGCTACAGCTCTACTGAGTTTCTTAGCAAGTGTTAGCAATATTGATTGTAGCTTCTCCTTTGACTCATTGTTCATAATCTTAAAACATTTTAAAACAAATTATGCATGTTTCAATGGACTATTTTGTTTGACCCCGTTCTATTTGGAAAAGAGATATATCAAGTCTGAGCTAACTGCAACTTTGAACATTAGGTAGAATATGATACTTGCATTTCATTAACCCTAATTTGTAATCTTGGCCTGAACCGTAGAAAGATTTCCTGTCCTATCATTTGCAGAGGGCAATGCGTCTTTTCTCCATTAGCCTGGCCCTGCAAAGTACTGACCTGCTTCCACCTCCGCTCAGGTGCAAATGTATGAATGCTGGTCCCTTACAGGATCACATCTGTTCATGTTATAATGCAATAAATTAAGGCCTATTGTCCACAGCTGAATCTCCTGTACGCTCACAGATGCCTCTGATTAAAGGAGTAGGCTATGCAGCCCTGATTTCCATTGTGAAGCACTGTGCCGCCCAAATAATCTGGATCCCTTCACGTGACCTAGACGTAATACTGAATGTTCAGATACAAGCAGAAAAATAGCAAACAATAGACCAGCATACAGAACCAATAACCTAAGAGTTCCCTGCCCTTATTCATAGTCACCTGCCCTTACTCTTTCCGAGCAGAATCCAAGTAGTCCTTGTGATTTTAATGAGATTATTCCTTCAGTGGAACGCAAATAATGCCACAGAAAGAATGGCAGATTCTTTCATAATAACAGTCACAGACAGCAACAGAGGAGTATTTATTTCTGATAGACGTAATTTACCTGAAACACTTAGAACACACTTTACAAAAAAGAATTATTTTTTCAACAAGCTTTCAGAAGTTGAGCTATTTAATACTAGGTAAAAGGCACAATTCAATCCCTGCCACACAAATTTATAGTTTGCTAACTTCAATTGCTTAAGCCACTTGCAAGTTGGAAGTGAAAATTTA